GTTGTTAAAGACATTGGCGAAAAGGGAACTACAGACCATGGATCCACTCGCCCGGGAGAAGGATTTCAGCAAGAAGCCGCAGAAGCATACCAGCAAAACGAACTGTAAGGAAGTTGCTCCTCAGGTGAGTAACAGTAGGGTTTCTCATTCAATTCACGCTAAAAAAATTGAACAGATGGATCGCATAGACGAACGGCAAGAATCCATTGCCCGCATTCGCATGCTTGTGGATGACTACGATAAGGAACACAGGCGAGAAGCTGAAGAAGAGGTTGACATCAAAGAAACTAAGGGTGCTGTCAACCGTCTGCTGCCTGGAAATTCGGCGCACCTGAACGACACACAAACTCGAGAGCATTCGAGCAGGATTCAGGGTCAACTCTTCAGCCCTTTCCTAACTTCGATCTCGCACTGCGCGATTTTATCGCTGAACACTTTCCTGAGGATCTGGTCGGCTGCGAGGAGATGCTCCAGGCAAGATGACTGAAACAGAATTTATCTTGTGCTCCGAGCTGACCGATTTTTTTGAAGGTGCAACCCTACAAGCTCGCCTAGGTCTTTTATCAGTCCGTTGAGGATTGGAGACGCCGTCGGGATATCATCCGCTGCAGTCCTTCTTTCCACAGCCGCCCTCGATACGACTGCCTACTGTACAGCAGCGATAGACCGGGAATGGTGTTCGGACGAGCACGGGCTTTCCTCCGCTGCAACATGGCCACGGGACGTCAAATTGACCTCCTGCTTGTGAACATGTTCTCAAGAAGTGATGGAAGCCCAACACTTTGTGGGACGGGTGTCAGGTACACGAGGAAGGAAAAGAATACGAGATATTGTTGATGGACTATGTGGTTCGGGGTGCTTTACTAACTCCAGCCCGCGATTCTGGGAAGCCAGATTTGCATTTTTTGGTCGACACCGTCGATGCTGATATGTTTCTGCGGGCTGACGGCGTTGATTGATTTATTTTATGCATTTATTCCAGGGATACATAATTACGTCCGAGCAGACCTGATATGCACCACTGCACTGCCTAATATGACTCTGAAAACACCTGATATGCCTCGCCGGTGTACCTGATATTAACCTGAAAATGCCTTATTGGCCGGTTAGGTGTCGTCAGCCCCTGATCAGATTTTTTGGATTTCCGACATAAGAAGAAAAAGTACCCTAATGAAACTCACCCATTATGCATGCATATAGTCTGAAGCATATCTTGAAGGTATGAAGTCAAAAAGAATGGAACAACGAAAGAAGAGCAAAAAGTTTTAAGCACCCGGTAAATGGCTGGACCCCGAGTCGAACGGGGACGTTCGGGTTATTGCGAGTGACTGTGGCCTGGTACAAACGCCCGATGCGCACCGTGCGCCTTCCTGCCCTGTTTTCCCTGTTAGATTCTTGCTTAGGGGGCGAGGAGCAGGAGGATCCGCCCAATGCGCGCCCTGCCCAATCCTGACGCGGACGTCGTTCCCAACTAGAGAGCAGCCGGCACCCCCCGGATGACCAATCACGTTTGAGCTCGAAATATCTGCTTGCTCTTGGCTTGCGACCACAGCTCTACTGTGGCAGGGTTCCATGGACTCTACTGGTGCTACCACCTCTTTGGAGTCCTGCTTGAGACGCACGGTTCAGCTGTACCACCGCGTCGCCGTTGCTTCTCCCCGTCCCCCTCCTTCCGCGTCTGCCCTTCCCCTCCTGCTGCACACGCACAACCCCGTCTCCGCCCCGTCTCGCACACACACGCTACACGATGTCTGAACTATATACCCACTCGCGTGAATAACAAGGCGCGTATTCAATTTTTCGGTACAGAGTTACAGGCATGCTAAGCACAATACTCCCAGACCGCGCCGTCTAGTACATACTGGAGCGCCGTCCCTGAATCTGGATGAACACGGCTAGGCCTCGCTGCGCGGTCCTAGTATGCGGGGGCGTCACAGCTCAATGCACTACCCGCACTGAGAAACCTTCGCTACGTCCAGGCGCATCACCACTGTCGCTGCCTGCACGCCTCTGCTGTGTCCTGGTGCTGCAACGTAACCTGCTCGCCGCACACTCTCGCACCTCGACTGATCCCATTGTCACTACATGCACGCCTGCGGGGGTGCACCCTGCGTGTGTCCGAGCGCATGCGTGTGGAGCATCGTCCACCGTGTCCGCGTCCGTCGCCGCCCTTCTGTTGCGCGTAACTTGCCCGCCGTACGCTCCCCCTTGGGCACACCGCACACGCGCCCTCGCGCGCGACTCTTATCCCACTGTCGCTGGCTGCGCGCTCCGTCCCCACGCAACGTCATGGCGCATATCCAGGGCGCGGGGCATGTACGCCTCCGCCACGCTTTTGTAGTCCCGCGCCTCGCGCCCCGCTACCCACCACGGCACTCCAGCACCGACCGTGCTCTTGGGGCACACCACGCCTTCCGCCCTCGCGAGTCGAACCTGGTCCTCCCACTGTCGCTGCATGCACGCCCTCGCCGTGTCCCGTCACGGACGATGCGCTCCTCCACCACGCTTTTGTCGTCCCGCACCGGCGCCCCCGCTGCCCACCACGGCGCTCCCGCACCAACTGTTCCCTTGAGCACACCACGCGCGCCGCCGCAAGTCTGATATCCCACTGTCGCTGGCTGCGCGACTCCGCCCCTGCACGCCTTCGTTGTCTCTGGGCTGGCCGCATATCCAAAGCGCGGGAGCGTAGCCTGCCCGCCGTGCGCGCCCGCACCGACCGTGCTCTTGGGCACACCGTGACGCGCGCCCGCGACTCTTATCCCACTGTCGCTGGCTGCGCGCTCCGTCCCCACGCAGTGCCCATGGAGCGTGGCGCCGCATCTTCCTCCGTCCGTCATTACGCCCGTACACCGCTGCGCGCGCGACGCCCGATCGTGCGAAGAAGCCGAAACTTCGTGGGGGTGCTTGCGCTTCAGATCGGCCGCGTGCTCGTTTTCATTTCCCCTCGTGGCCCGTACACCGCGTGCGGCCTGGGCGTGTGCTCGCGACGGAGAAGGAGCGGGAGAGCGTGTCGGAGGCGACGGGTGAGGAGGCGACAATGGGTGAGTGTGCGGGTACGACGGGTGGGCGTGCGGCGTGCGGGCCCGACGGGTGGACGTGCAGGGGTGCGGTGACGACGGGTGGGGAAGACGACGGGACGGGACGGCGCTCGCGACGAGTCGACGACGTGCGGCGACGACGAGTGGGCGAGTGAGGAGGCGACGACGGGTGAGTATGCGGGCACGACGGGTGGGCGGGAGACCGTGTCGGCTCTTGCGGCGATGCAGGGCGAACACGTTGGGGAGTCGAGTGTCGTCGACCACGCCACCCGGAACCAGGGATATGATCTGGTACAAGACCGGGACGCGACGTTCGAGGAGGGTGCGTAGGCGTGACGGTCGAGTGGGGACGTGGGGCACGACTTTCGCGCGCGAGGTGTGCTCGTTGTGGTGCGCGGGCGGCGGGCATGAGCATGATGATGTGCGGGCGTGCGAGCGAGCGTGGTCGCGTGCGGAGCGGGTGGTGCGCATCTTCCTCCGTCCGTCGGCCTGCCCCATGCAACACGCCACCGCATACACCGCATCTGCTGCCGTGCGCTCGCGACGCCGCCAGATTGACCCCGTTCTCGTTGTGCTCGCTGTGTTCCGCGCGTGGCGGGTATGCGCAGAGCGATGTGGGATGTGGGTGCGTAGGCGGCGGGGTGGGTGCGGTGTCCCGCGTTCTGCTTCTGGGTGCGGCGGGGGGTTGACTCCCGGTGCGCTCGATCTCGGCCCTTCATCTATGTCGCTGACGGCGTCTCGAAGCAGCTCTGCTTATCCATCGTTTATTAGTACCGGGTTTGAGGCGTCCACCTTGAGGCGCGCTGAAGCCGCACGTCTACGATTCCGCGCGTACCCACCAGGTGCATGCTCAATCGCGTGTGTTCTCTCTTGGCGCTGCTTTGGCTCTCCGAGCTACAGTTTCGCCCCGCGCGCGCAGCACGGGGTCGACACCTCACATACTTCTCGTCCACCCACCGAGCAATTTGGCCTTCATTCATGTCTTGTTGTCCATCCCCGCCTCCTTCCTCTGCGCCATTTATCCATTCCTTCCCTCCTTCCGTTCTGTTCTTTCGCTTCGACCACCTGCGTCGTCAGTGCCCCTTCTCACCCCTTCGTCCCCCCGCTCCCGCTCCCAGATCCCCGACCTTCCCATCCCTGTCCTCCCTATCCTGCCCGCCGCCGTCCTCACGCATCATCCCCCTCTTCGACCTCATTTCCCTTTCTTTCGTCTTGTCTCCTCCCGTGATCTTCGGCCCCCGCGGGATACCTGCTCCTGGTACCTGTGGTGAGGGGTCAGGGTGCGCCCAGGGAGGGGGGCTACCCAAAAGCCTTGGAAGCAGGAGCTGCACCAGTACGACCCAATGAGCCGTCTTCCCCGCACCCTGGAGCTGGAGGTCGGGGATAGCAGCTGGCGTCGCGCCTCCTTGTCGATATGCATCTCCCTCGCGTTTTTGTCGCGATGTCTTTTATTATTATTAATTCTTTTCTTTCGTGTATGTGGGCGTGGACAGTATCGTGACACCGTGTCGCCAAGCAGTGTCGGGCTAGTATCAGATCCGGCGGCCCTGGGGACTTACTCGGCCAATCTCTGGCATTCTATTCCTTCCCCTCCAGCCCATCTCCTTCCCGCGGACGGGGAATCCGCCGTTCTGCTCAACGGCTTTTACTTGTACCTTTTTTCGTCTTCGTCTTCGGTGGTTTTTGTCTTTGTTGATTGTGTGGGCGGTCATCGATTTCCCCCTGGTTTCCTCAGGGACAGGACCCACTTCCTTCCACCGCCAGGGAAGGAAGCCCAACGTTGCCTCCGACTGCTCCGATTTCTAGCTCAGGGAGGAATCGAAATACATATCAAGGCGTACCCAGCGATCCCGCACTGCGGGTAGTGGCGGGCGACATCGCGAATATCGCTCACTGAGAGGGAATATTGTATAGGAACAAAGGTGATACCACCTCGAAAAAAAAAGACCTATGCAGATGTTCTGGCAGGACCCCGAGTCGAACGGGGACCTGCGGTCCATTTTCTTGCATATATTCCCCACATCAGAAGCCGACGCGCACCCTGCGCCTTCCTGCCTTTCTCCCACCCTTTGTGCAGTTAATATACGTGTTTATACATTTATCGAATCAAAGTATTAGTCTTACCGGGCTGACAGGAAAATAAAATGTGTCGACCGAGCAGCGCACGTTCCCTCGGCTTGAATATCGCTTACTGAGAGGGATATCGTATAGGAACAAAGGTGATACCACCTCGAAAAAAAAAAGACCTATGCAGATGTTGATAGCAGGACCCCGAGTCGAACGGGGACCTTCGGGTTTATCCTTTTAGAAATCGTACATGAGAAGCCAACACGCACCCTGCGCCTTCCTGCCTTTATCCCATCTTTCAAGCTGTTGATATGCGTGCAAGATTATTGAGTCGTTGTGGGTTGACATATTAACGAATAATGAGATGGAGCAAAAAGACCTCTGACCGAATTGCTTATGCCAGGGCCCCGAGTCGAACGAAGATGTTTGGCTTAGACGAACCCAGAGTACTCATGGGAAGCCAACGCGCACCCTGCGCCTCCCTGCCTTTCTCCCTTCCTTTCCGCAGTTAATATATATGCTCGTGGATTTAGTGAATTTGAATCAACATATTCGTCTCACAGGAAAATAAAGTGTGCCGACAAAGCAACCCACGTCTCCTCAGCTGGAGTATCTTACAAAGGGGAAGAATATTGTATGAAAACAGAGGTGAGAAGACATGATGCGTCCTTGAAAAAAAAAAAAACTACTTTTGGCATTGTGTTTATGGCAGGATCCCGAGTCGAACGGGGCCTTCGACCTACATATCAATGTCCCGCACCCTTTCATGAGAAGACGCCGCGCACCATGTACTTCCTGCCTTTCTCCCGTCCTCTACGCAGGTAGTATACTATGTGTTGGATTGTTGGAAAGAACCGCTAGTCCTACCGCGCAAAAAAAAATGGAGTGTGCCAACAATGCACACAGGCTACCCACGTCACTTCGGCTCGAATATATTTCACACAGGGATAATGCTGTACATATAGGAACACAGGTGATGCCACCTCCAGAAGAAGAAAAAAATTCTCGTGAATGTTCTCTATGGCAGGACCCCGAGTCGAACGGGGACCTTCGGCTTTATCGATATCCTTGGATGGAGATATGTGAAGCCGATGCGCACCCTGCACCTTCCTGCCTTTCTCCCGTCATTCACCCTGTTGATAACGCGTGCGATTTATCGAACCAGCTATTACGGATCAGCCCTGGCGGGACTGACAGGAACCTAGAATGCGCCGGCGAAGCAGCGCACGTCCCCTCGGCTCGAATATCACTCACTGAGAGGGATATCGTATAGGAACAAAGGTGATGCCACCTCGAAAAAAAAAGACCTATGCAGATGTTCATGGCAGGACCCCGAGTCGAACGGGGACCTTCGGTTCATTTTCGCGCAATCTTTTCTCTTTATCAAAAGCCGACATGCACCCTGCGCCTTCCTGCCTTCCCACTCTTCTTCCCGAGTTGAATATGTGGATGTCCCTTAGTATAGGAATAGTGCGGCCAGCTCTGGCCGCACGCAATAATACTTCCGAGAGCCATGGAGGATTGAACAAGGACTCGAAATAATTTACTGTACGTGATGGACAGTCGGGGGCTGAAGGAGTGGGGGGAAAAACTTCGCCACAAAACATGGCAGGACCCCGAGTCGAACGGGCCTTCGACCTACATGTGCTTATGGTACCCGTTTATCATGAGAAGCTGACGCGCACCCTGCGCCTTCCTGCCTTTCTCTCGACCTTTACACTTTTAATATACGTGTTCATGGATTCATTGAATCAAAGTATTAGTCCTACCGGACTGACAGGAAAATAAAGTGTGCCGATAAAGCACACAGACACTGGCTACCCATGTCTCATTGGTTGAAATAGATTTCAAAATAAATTTCAAAGGGGAAGAATATTGTATTGTGGAAACAGAGGTGAGAAGACATGATGCGTCCTCGAAAGAAAAAGAAGAAAAAAAAACTACTTTTGGCCTTGTATTTATGGCAGGACCCCGAGGCGAACGGGGATCTTCGGGCTATCGCCCATGAAGAGTATGTGCACATAGACCCAACGCGCACCGTGCGCCTTCCTGCCTTCCTCCTACCACCTAGGTCCTGGATAGACGCAGGCAAAATCATGCCGACCTGCGTTCAGATCTACTAGGGGAAAATATCACGAGTTCCGCTGGGGATAACAAGTAAATAGAATTCACCATTTGCGCCGCAACGAGGCATGGAAGCATGCATATAGTCTGAAGCCTATCTTGACAGTATAAGGAGCAACGAAAGTAGAGCAAAAAAAGTGTTCAATCTCCACAGAATGGCAGGACCCCGAGTCGAACGGGGACCTTCGGGTTGCTTTATGGCATCTTCCTGCACAGAAACCCAATGCGCACCATGCACCTTCCTGCCTTTCTCACACCACCCAGTTTCCTGGATGAGTGCAGGAAGAATCAGGCCCGCTGGGAAAATTCAGATTTGTCAATGTAAAATATCACGGAGTCCATGTAGAAATCCACTGAGACGAACAAGTACCCTAATGAGACTCACCATTATGCATGCATATAATCCGAAGCTTATCTTGGAGGTATGAAGTTAAAAAGAACGGCGCAACGAAAGAAGAACAAAAATTGTTTCCAAAGCCACATGGCAGGACCCCGAGTCGAACGGGGACCTTCGAGTTGCTTATAAAATCCAGCAACCACAACAGAACCTGATGCACACCGTGCGCCTTTCTGCCTTATTCTAGTATTCAGTACCCGGATAGATGCACGAAAAACCGAGGGATGTTCAAGTTCGGCCCCTTGCATTGATCAAAATATAGATAGAAATCATTGCATTCACAAAATAATTGAGTGTAGAACTCACCCTTCGCGTTGCCCAAATATCCGCAAAGCTGAGAAACAAAATTGTATGCGGGGCGAACAGCCTTCCGAGGATATAAAAAAACCAGAATTACACATGGCAGGACCCCGAGTCGAACGGGGACCTTCGGGTTGCTTATTCCACCTGCCAGCAACAGAAGCCCAAAGCGCACCGTGCGCCTTCCTACCCTATTTCCAGTATTCAGTTCCTGGATAGATGTAGGAAGACTCAGGCCCGCCCGCGTTCAGATCTACCAGGGGAAAATATCATGAGTCCAGGTGGGAAGCTCCACTGAGGATAACAAGTGCCATAATGGATGGAACTCACCATTATGCATGCATATAGATCGAAGCCTATCTTGGAAGCATGAAGTCAAGAAGAACGGCGCAACGCAAGAAGAGCAAAAACTGGTTCCAACCCAGGACCCCGAATCGAACGGGGACCTTCGGGTAAACACATAAGTCGACTCACCAATATATACCCGATGCGCACCCTGCGCCTTCCTGCCTTATTTCCAGTATTCAGTACCTGGATATATGCATGAAGAAAATGAAGAGTCTTATCGGCCGTCAGCATACAAGTATGGAAAACAATTGAGCGCGAAACTCACCCGTTGCGTTGGCCAAATATCCGCAAGCTCAGAAAAGAATTGCCAGCAGGAGAAGGAGAATATAATATATATATATAAGTGTCAGCCTAAACACACGGTATGGCAAGACCCCGAGTCGAACGGGGACCTTCGGGTTGCTGATCGAACCAAGCAACGCCAACAGAACCCAACGCGCACCGTGCGCCTTCCTGCCTTCCTCCTCCTACCCAGGTCCTGGATAAACGCAAGAAAAATCACGCCGACCTGCGTTCAGATCTACCAGGGGAAAATATCACGAGTTCCGCTGGGGATAGCAAGTAAATAGAACTCACCATTTGCGCCGCAACGATGCATGGAAGCATGCATGTAGTCCGACGCCTATCTTGACAGTATAAAGAGCAACGAAAGAGGAGCAAAAAAAGTGCTCAATACCGACAGAATGGCAGGACCCCGAGCCGAACAGGGACCCTTGGGATATCGCACGCTGGAACCATGTACACAAACCCGATGCGCACCCTGCGCCTTCCTGCCTTATTTCTAGTATTCAGTTCCGGGATAGATGTAGGAAAAATCAGGTTCGGATTTGTTAGTGTCAAATATCACGAGTTCAGTGGGAAAAAAACTCAACCGAGTGTGGAATTGACCCGTCGCGCCCCAAGGAGGAGGACTGCCGTGAATATCGTGAAGCCTTTCTGAAAAAAAGAAATCCGCGAACGAACAGCATGCGCCAGAAAATTAAAAATCACTGCGAACGATACTAGAAGGGCAGGACCCCGAGTCGAACGGAGACCTCCGGGTAGATGCAACCAGATGCCTAATATATACCCGATGTGCACCCTGCGCCTTCCTGCCTTATTTCTAGTACTCAGGACCTGGGTAGACCCAGGAAAAATCAGGCCTGCTTGGGCAAATTCGGATTTGTCAATGAATGTAAAATATCATGGAGTTCATGTAAAAAAATCCACTGAGGATAATAAGTGCCATAATGGATGGAACTCACCATTACGCATGCATATAATCCGAAGCATATATTGTAACGGTATGAAGTCAAAAAGACCGGTGCAACGAAAGAAGAGCAAAAATTCGTTCCGCAAAGGGGCAGGGCAGGACCCGAGTTGAACGGGGACCTTCGGGTTGCTCAATAGCTGGAGCTCCTGGTAACGAAGCCCAACGCGCACCGTGCGCCTTCCTTCCTTATTTCTAGTATTCAGTACCTGGATATATGTAGGGAGAATCACGCCCGCCTGGGTTCAGATCTACCAGGGGGAAAAATTACGAGTTCAGTAGAAAGAAGTTCCGCTGGGGATAACAAGTGCCCTAATGTGACTCACCATCATGCATGCATATAGTCTGAAGCCTATCTTGAAGGTATGAAGTCAAAAAGAATGGAATAACCAAAAAAGAGCAAAAACCCCACTGTCATTATGAACCGCTGGACCTCGAGTAGAACGGGGACGTTCGGGTTATTGCGCATGAGATGGGAATACACAAACCGATGCGCACCGTGCGCCTTCCTGCTTATTTTCCCCTGTTAGATTCTTGCTTAGGGGGCGAAGAAAAAATGAGGATGAGCACT